TTACTTATGTTTATGCTTGTTTTGTTTTCCATGTGCATTAAAAATGCGACTATGAGCTTAATGTAATAAGTTTCATAAAGTTTCAAAGTGAAGAGTTACAGAGCTCCTTTTACACGTATGTCTACATATGATGTGTTATATATGTTATAAAGTAAAATTTCATATTATTCAGTTGAAATGTTGCGACATTGAGAATATAGTAGGAGCAGGACCAACCAAAATACCACCGACTTGTTGTAGAGGGTTAACCAGAAAAGTACTAGAATCTGGTGACCTCTCTGGTATTCAGGCATGTTATACCAGTCCGTCTGATAAAAACTCTTATATAAATAAGGTAAATCTTTAAGTAATTAAAACAAAATGTGATTATTGTATAAAACAAAGAAGATGTGGTATATTTGTTAGCCTTCTGAGGTACATAAAAACAAAGTAAATTTGTCAGAAGTTGGAACCCTTCTGAGATTTTTTTTATCTACGAATGGGACAATAATAATGTGTATCATTAAAATGATAGAAAATCAAATGTAAACATAGCAACTTAAAACAAGATTATTCATAAATTTATCTGTGTAAACTAGCAATAAAGTAACTCAGAGGTCACTTCAATTTATGATGTCCATAACTTTAAAACATGCACTTGTGTTTTTTTTCATAATAATGGCCTGTCCCATTTCCCAAGGACACAAATATTTTTGTATTAACTTTCTTCCACTTGATCTAAAGTCAAAAGCTCGTCACTTAATTGTATTTTTCAATGCTGTTCTGGCTCAAATTATTTTAAATCCGTAATTCATTCCTTTCTCTTCCTGATGATGCCGATTATTTACAATGTAGATTAATCGACTTAAACATAATGGAACCGTTTTATTATGAACTTTGGTTAAGGAGTGAAAATTCACTTGCTTTCCTACCTTAAATTTTAATGCACTGTCTACTTTTGATAAAGTATTGCTTACACTAATGTTGTTTCTAGAGTTGTGCTGTAGCATTAATTGACATGATGAGGGACAATCAAGCATACGTTATTGGTATTGGTGTAGCTCTACTAGTGATTGAGGTAGGATGATCTGCATTTATTTTTTACCATTATTTAGTAAATGTATATACTGGTATTCTACTAGCGTAAAAATGTTCAAGAATATACGCTAATTCTATTGAACTATTTGATCACGAAACTATATGAAAGATTCCAGTACATTTCCAATTGTGAATTTTCTATTTCTGAGAAAGAACTAGTCATAACTTGCCAAGTTGGCAGCGTTTAATGTTAACAAGTGAAATTTGATTTATTATTCAAGTTTCTATGTCCACAGTAGCGACCTTAATTTTGGAAATCAGAATGAGTTTCAAAAGAAGTGTTAGGGTATTTCAGCACATAAATTAAAATAGTGACTACAAATGTTGACTTTAATTGTCGCAATTGCGTTTTTGGTCAATCGCTAATAAAAGTGTATTACAATATGTAATACATGCAAAAGGAATTTATATGGATTAAGTTTGCGCTTTTTGGGAAATCCAATATAAAAACTATTTTTTGTTAGAGTTCGTATTTCGCATACTTTTGTATTCTGTGTATTTTTTCTAATGAACATGCAGCCTGTATATCTCATGAGTCTCGGAGACAAAGTCCCAAGCAATGTCGTGTTTTGTGTGTATAAATCACATCATATTTTAAATTGTTGGAAAAATTAGATATTAAAAATTCACTTCTATTTCATTCCAACGACACTAAATAACAATGAATACCTTGACATTAGCTTCAATTTAATAATGAATAAACTTCAGTAGAGGCATTTGATGAAGTGATATATTTTAATACCTTACTTACGTACATTTGTATCATGCATTTGTACATGGGCGTTCATAGTTCAAATGTTTGGTTATTTTTTCAGGTAAACGATAGATAACTCAAATGTCAAAACTTGTTCAAACGCCCATTACAAATGCATTAAAGGAATACCATTAAGTTTATATATGTTTCTTCTCTGAATGGATGCCGCTCTTACGTGAAGAACAGGACCGTTGAAGAGACACTAAATTATCTATTGTATTACAATGACAACGTTGCGTTCAATCTGTATTAAATGTTTCGCCAAAACTGAATTTAGGCTTTGATATAGGCAACTTTTATCACAATATTCACTCACTATCTTTAAAAATAATTCTTATTCCAAGAAATAACAAATATTGAAATAATAAACCTCTTTGATGCAATCATACACACAAATTGTAGTGGCATTGATTACTTTTAGGACAGGTTCTTGGATACGTATTTATACATCCCTTCAGCAAACTGAATGCCCCTTGTTATGAAATCATACTACTTTGACAAATACATCAAAGTTGCCTTAGGATGCCCTATTTATGTCCGTTTCTTGATCGGTATTGCACATATACAGTCTAATAAAAAGTATATAAACTTTGTGGAGAAACAGATATTCTTGTTTATAAACCTTACAAAAATTAAATATATAAATGTATTAATCTTTTATATTTTCAGCTTTTGTGTATAGCTTTTGCTTTCTGGATCTGTAGCCAAATAAACAAGAAAAACAGAGTTTCTACGATTTAATACAGGAATGAAAGACAAAGTAGAGAGGCAGTAGCAAGGTTGAATTAGCCCACGATAAAACAAAAAATGTTTTTGATGATTTGAAAATATCGTATATGCGCTACTTGAATTAGATTTTAACTATTTGTGACTGTTGCTATTGACATTTGCAGTTCGCTTTCAAAAGTAGAAGTTTATTTTAATCAAATTTGAATAGTTTTACTTCCGTCCTATTTTAGATTCCTTAGTTCTATTTACAAATATGTCTGATATTCAGAAATCCGTCCAATTTTAGTATGTATATTAGTTCAATGTTAGAATACAATGTTGGTGTTAATTTATTCTCTCATTTACACATTTAATATTACCCAAGAATTTGTATTTCTGGTTCAATGGTTATACCATCTAGTTAAAACCAGTGTTATGATTTTTTGTTTTCATATTTTGCCATAATAGTATTTTTGTTAACAATCTTTTTGTCTTATTCAAAATATTTTTAATTAAAAAAAAATAACTGTTTTTAAAAAATGTCTTTTGTTTTATTCACTTACTAACTTTATAACCATTGTCACATAAACTGTTATATGCCGCCACTAATATGTTCAGCTGTGACTGATACTATTGTCCTGAACATGCATGAAATATTTGTCACTGGATGTTAAGCAAACAATAATCAATCAATCAATTAGCTAATACAAAGGTACAAGCTGCAACGAATCTGATGAGTGGGTCTCCAATGATCGTTGACATATTCCCGTTGGAGCTATTCTGGTCTTTGTTATTTCAGCGTACGGTTTTAGATTACCCCTTATTTTTTCTTGCTTTTTTTCGAACAGTATTGTACGCAGTAAATCGAAGTCAGCAATTTAAATAAAGTCAATGAGACAGCAAACCAACGACATACATTTGTAAAAAAAAACAGAAACAGGGTAACATACAGTCTTTAAGAATAGACAAGTAGTTATACAATACATCAAGCTAACAAGTCTAGAAAAGTTTTTACATCACAACATACAACTGAAACTATGAAAGATCTGCCTTCAACACCAAATTGTCTATTTAGTAATTCAAGGGAAAATCTTTTAAAAATCTACTCAAGTACCACTACAATAATGAATATTGCAAAGCCTAGAGGTGGCGTGAATCAGATGTGGATACTAAAAAATTCCAAAGATCTTTTTGAGTACATACAATCTAAGTGTCTTTCATCTTGCAAAAGTATTAAAACATTTGACTTTTCTACACATTACACAAGTATTCCCCATTCAAACTTAAAGACAAATTGAAAGAGTTGGCCCTGCTCTGTTTCATAAAAAAGAATGGCAAACGTAGATACAAGTATCTTGTCTTAGGGAGGGATAAATCGTACTTTGTTAAAATTCATTCTGATTCAAACAACATTCTCTGAAACTGACATTATCAAGATGCTTGATTTCTTGATTGACAACATATTTGTTACGTTTGGAGGACGTGTTTTTCAACAAACAATCGGCATTCCCATGGGAACCAACTGTGCTCCTCTTCTTGTCGACTTGTTCCTTTATTCATATGAGGTGACTTCATACAGGAACTTCTTAGGAAGAAAGAAAAGAAGTTAGCAGTGTCCTTTAACTTTACTTTCCGCTATATAGATGATGTTATCTCACTAAATAACTCAAAATTTGGTGACTATGTTGAACGTATCTATCCCATCGAACTTGAGATAAAGGATACCACAGATATTACATCTAGAAATTGATAATGAGGGCTGGTTGAAAACAAAACTTTACGACAAAAGGGATGATTCCAGCTTCCCGATTGTGAACTTTCCATTTCTATGTAGCAACATTCCAGCAGCGCTTGCATACGGAGTATATATCTCCCAGTTGATACGATATTCCAGGGCTTTCCTTGATAGAGGGTTGCTGCTCACAAGGAAGCTATTAAACCAAGAGTTTCAAGTGGTGAAGTTGAAGTTATCCTTTCGTAAACTTTACGGACGCCATTGCAAGATGGTTGACCGATATGGAATATCCGTTTCACAGATGATAGCGGATATGTTCCAATTGTCGTAACTACAATCCCATCCCCCTTTCCCCGAATGTGACCTGCCGAATTACACTTATTACCGGGCTTGTACTAACATGAGCAAGACGACGGGTGCCACATGTGGAGCAGGATCTGCTAACCCTTCCAGAGCACCTGAGATCACCCCCATTTTTTGGTGGGGTTCGTGTTGCTCAGTCTTTAGTTTTCTATGTTGTGTTTTGTGTATTATTGGTCTTTTTCTTTTTTTGCCATGGCATTGTCAGTTTATTTTTAACTTATGGGTTTGAATGTCCCTATGGTATCTTTCGCCTCTCTTTTACTTACACCATATGTAATTTGTTCTGAGGGAAGGTTGAAAGCTTTTAAAAATATTACCTAAAATACTTAAGATTCTGAAACAGCAATTTGAATAACAAAACGAAACATTTCAAAATTTTATAAATATATAACGCCTACAGAGGGAATTCTCTGTTTTGCACAAGAACTTCATTTATTGCAACATTTTCTGGTTGGGTAACAGCATACAATACAGCATTGGCTATATCTGTTGGATCCAAGAGTTTACCGGCTTGGTATGAGGTATCTAAGTCTTTCGACTGTAAAATACAATTATATTATTTGACTCTTTTATTTACATAGGACAATTATGTAGAAGGCACACAAATTTATAATTACACTTCCTTTACCAAATTAAACGGAAGACTTTTGAAAGTTTCTTTCTGATGCAATAATCTAGAAGTAGCTATTTTAACCAGAAAGCACAGTCCTTGCAAAACGATTCTTAGTGATTTTTAATTTACTATCAATTTCGAAATGTCTATTTTCACATAAAATAATGCCACTCTAGAAATTAAAAATATTCAAGATGGAGTCCAGCAATAATCATATTAACTTTACTTAGGGAAGGTGTAAAACCATATCTTAGACACCAATTATTATATTATTTTGAAATTTAGATCTCGCTTTGAAACATTATAAGAACTGCTTGGAACTTTGTTCTTACCAAGACAAAATGATGCAGCTGCAGTATGGTCATCAAATCGGCAAAATACTAAAATAACATATTTGTGTTACAGTACACATTTGACATAATATAAAAATAAGGAGAAGAGGTATGATTGCCAATGAGACAACTATCCACCAAAGTTAAAATAAAGTGGATTTAAGCAATTATAGGCAACCGTATGAGAATGAGAAAAACCCATACAGTGTAGTCGGATATTCCTTAGAACTGGCGAAGTACCTGACTTCGGACAGCCACAGGGACATGTAATTGTACCCATTATCTTTTTCATACGGGTACAATAGACAACAAAAATTCAAGGAAAACAGTTTACCGTATCGAAGGATGCTCATTATTACTGAAAGCAGCTCATTGTAATTAACCTGCTGATATTGAAATAATGACGTTCTACTCTCTAATGTTCGTGGCATTATTTCTTACGGAGTATTATATATAGCAACGGCATGAACAGAGCTGTAAGACGCGATCCTTTGTAATGCTCTAATTATAAAACGAGTGCAGAATTTCAACAAAGAAAAAAATATATATATTCGTGATTCAATTTATAAATAAGCCAACAAATATCAGTCTAAAAATACCACACGTAAAGTTTTAACAATAACAGTTTACTCATAGCTACACGTCTATTAGGCAAAAAGAAAGATTTTATGTAAATTATAAGATTTGCTTAATACATGTGTTGCGGTTGCATGCCATAAGAAGTATTACATTACCATAAAAAGTCATAGAAATATCAAGTTGGATTAAATTCCTGCATATGGATCATATTTCTTATAAATCCTTACATATTTGACACAATTCTTCCGTCAAGGTTTTTTCAATTTACTTTGCTGCATGTACTATCAAACCTATCAGTGTATCACGATATAGACACGGTCGTCATAGGATAACACCAACAGAGAAAATGGCAGACAAAATACAGATAAACGGTTTAATGATGGGTTCGTGTTGCTTAATCTGGAGTTTTTTTTAGTAGTTTAATGTGGACTGTTGTTTGCCTGCTGGTCATAGTGATGTCTGTTTTTCTTCGTCTGTTGGTCATAGTGGTGTCTTTTTTTCTTCGTCTTTTGGTCATAGTGATGTCTGTTTTTCTTCGTCTTTTGGTCATAGTGATGTTTGTTTTTCTTCGTCTTTTGGTCATACTGATGTCTGTTTTTCTTCGACTTTTGGTCATAGTGATGTCTGTTTTTCTTCGACTTTGGGTCATAGTGATGTTTGTTTTTCTTCGTCTTTTGGTCATAATGATGTCTGTTTTTCTTCGACTTGTATTTTTTTATTGTCCCTTTGTATTGTTTCCTCTTTTTTCTCTTAACCATTTTATCACCATGAACATGTTATAGACATGAGTAAATTCATCATAAACAAAAGAAGGAAGTTGCAAAGGACAGTGCGTTGTTTCGTTGGGTAAATTCTGTAAATGGAGAAAGGTATTTAGTTTGTCGTCAACTTCCATTTCTGATGGTTGAACGCACGTGAATCTTTACTAAAAGTTACACTCTTAAATTAACATACCAGTGGATCAGGATGCGTCTTTTCTCGGTCTTCGACTGTAACATCTCCCGGTTGGATACACGTGACTCTTATTCCAAATTTACACACTTCTTGTCGTAATGTCTGGGAAAATCCTTCCACATAAAACTTAGTCCCTGTGTATACTGCTAGCCCCGGGTATCCCTGTATAAAAAGACTAAAACATCATTACCTAATACAGGATACTCACTTCCGTTTGCAAATATTGGAGCCTTACCAAACTTTGGACGTGTTTTGATGCATATGTTAATTATTTTTTTCTATCATACTTTGATTCTTTAATTGTCATGAAAAAGTTTAAAGTTCCTTTTTTTGTTACGATTTGAAATGGGAAATTTTCACAGATTTTCCGTGTGAAATTTTCGCAATTACAACTGACCTTGATAAGTATCAGGGCCAGTACACAGAAACGAAACACAGACAACTAGTTAATAACACTATATGTAGACTGTTATAGTCTACTGCTATATAAATAACACAGTAAGCGATTGTTGGTAAAGGAAAATAACACTTTATAACATTTCGTGCTTCCGAAGCACTTTTCTTGATTTACCTTCATCGGGAACGCTCAAGTCCCCAAAATGTAAAAGATAATGACGAATACGACCAGAAAATAATAGGAGCCACACGACCAAAAAGGACACAAAAAAGAATAGCCAAATCTATATAAGTTCAACTTTGATTGAGTGAGTTGGAACCTTAGTTTTTAAATACTTTGTTAATCCATCAACAGGGAATGTTAAGGAAAAAAACGTTATAAATTATGTCATCACTGAAGCACTGACTAATGAGTTGATGATTCCCTCGGGGACAGTCCACCAGCAGTGGTATCGACCAAGTGCTGGTAAATGAAAATAACAGTTATATAATTTAGAGTTTCCTATGTGCTTTGTAAGTTGACATTGATGAAACTGTTTTGTTAATATTGTGAGTTTAAAGCACTGAATATATAACTTTTCAACCATCCATTTCGTTTGTATTTCAATTACTTAAAATATAAACACTGAGCCTGTACTTCAATCATGCATCTCGAAGACAGACGTTCGGGAAAGAAAGTGTATAATACCGCAAACAGCTTCATTATTTCCAAGACAACTTAAGTGTACTTTTTCTTGATCACTGGTTATAAGAAAGAAAAACAGTGACATGTAATATATGATAAATATTATGGGAAATATTATGTATACTTAACTTTTTACCAGAATCAGAGGACATGTTGACTATATGACCGGAGCCTTGTTTGATCATTCCATCAAGGACAGCCGCAGCACAATTAGTTAAACCCTAATTTTGAAGAATGAAATATCAGTATCTGTATATACGAAAGGACGATGGATGACAAATTTATTTAATAATAAAAAATAACTGCAACTCAGGTGTCATGGAATGCAAATACATCAACTAGCCTTAAAAATGTTATATACTCTAAGTTTTGCCAGTTTTATTTTTTTAGCGGAATAAGATCTGCTTACCCTTCAATATCAACTGAGTTCCTCTTCGGTTTTCGGCGTAGTTCGTGTTGCTGAAGCTTTGATTCGTGTGCAGTATTTTGTACACTTGATTGTGTTTTCGTCCTTTTTCTTTGAACATGGTATTGTCTCTAGTGTCTTTCTTTGATTTACAGATTAAGATTCCTTAGTTTGGCATCTTCTTTTTCTTTCTACTTTATATAACATTGTTATTTCAAACTAAAATCACCGTAACGTCCAATTTGGTATCCTTGTTGGATAAATGTCAGCGACCATTCATGACAATTGTGATAATGTGATGGTAAACTGACCTGTGTGATTCGGTATATTTTGAAAAAATAGTATAATAGAAGGTTATACTTAAAATGACTAAAAATGTCTTGCGTTGTGCTGTTCTTTCACTGTTCCATGTTAGGGGAGGTTTAGGCGTCCCCAAACATGTTTAACCCCGCCATATTATGTACGTGCATGTGCAAGTCAGGAGCCTGTAATTCAGTGGATGTCATTTGTTGCTGTATATCGTATTTGTTTTTCGTTTATTGTTTTGTACATAAATCAGGCCGTTAGTTCTCTCGTTTAAATTGTTTTACATTTGTCATTTCGGGGCCTTTTATGGCTTGTTATGCGGAATGGATTTTGCTCATTGTTTAAGGCCTTACGGTTATCTATAGTTGCAAACTTCTATGTCATTTTGGTCTCTGGTGGGGAGTTGTCTCATTGGGAATCATACAACATCTTCTTATTCTAAAGTAACCGTAAATTTGAATGTATTTATTGTGATTTGTTTTGTAAAAACATATGCAATAAACCTTTCTTACTTTAATATTTACATCAATCTGTTCTTCCCAAAGATCTTCCATTTGGTTCTGCATGAGACTATAGTACCACAACCCAGCATTATTTACCAAAATATCTACTTGACCTAGCTTTGTTATTGTTTCATGAACTAACACCTTAATCTGTAATGAAATGTTCACATGTATGCTGACCCAGCAGGCTTTTAATTAGTTCATTTTAACCGAGTCTAGGTTTTCATAAAAAAATACAATGAAAGACGCAATATTTTTTTCATATTTGCACAAAGTTTAATTTCTGTATTTTTATATGATTTACTATGGAGGTCTTTATGTAACAGGTAGACGGATCGATCTATTATGTATATCCCCTGCCTGTATTACCCTGCAAATTGTGTTGGATTAGGGGTATGGATGAGTTAGTATGGTAACCGGGTTATTAAATATGAAATTTTCTCTCCGTCAGGTATACTATTTGTATCTACCTCTTACCGTTGACGCAACATTCCATACGGACACTTCCAAAGTGTAGAGAAAAAGAGGTCAACAAAAAACAATTTACAATAGCAGTGACTTTCTTTTGGTGTTTTAAAAATTGATTTTAAAGGAAACCCAAAAAGGTTTACCGCTGGATGTCAAACTTTTACTGTGCGTACTGTTGTGCGTTTGTTTTTTTCTACATTGGCTAGAGGTATAGTGGGAGGGTTGAGATCTCAAAAAACATGTTTTACCCCGCCGCATTTTTGCGCCTGTCCCAAGTCAGGAGCCTCTGGCCTTTGTTAGTCTTGTATTATTTTTAATTTTAGTTTCCTGTGTATAATTTGGAGTTTAGTATGACGTCCATTATCACTGAACTAGTATACATATTTGTTTAGGGGCCAGCTGAAGGACGCCCCCGGGTGCGGGAGTTTCTCGCTGCATTGAAGACCCATTGGTGGCCTTCGGCTGTTGTCTGCTCTATGGTCGGGTTGTTGTCTCTTTGACACATTCCACATTTCCATTCTCAATTTTATTTTAAAAATCAGTACATTAACGAATTATAATTAACATAATTCTTAATGTTGTAAGTTATACCTGGTCCCTTTTCGTAACATCCGTTTCTACACAAATAGATACTCCTCCGTTTTCAGATATTTGCTTCGCTACTTCTTGTAATTTGTCTTTTCTTCTGGCGGCTAAAGCCACTTTAACCCCTGCTTTAGCTAGAGCTATCCCTGTGGCCTTTCCTATTCCACTGGATGCCCCTGTTACTATGGCCACTTTACCTGCTAAACTGTTACCTTTCGAGGCAAAAGACAATAAATATATATTTACTAGTATTTCATATGTCACAAGCAACATATTTTCGCGGTATTATTTCTTTTGATATCAGAATAGTTGTTTGATCTGTTAAATCACCGAGTGAAACTATCCTATTCCCGATTGTGACATTTTGAGCGAGTGTGGAGTCGCATGACAGGGAGATGCTAACCCTGTCAACACATCCGGTCTCGATCCTTTGGAGATCATGCGAATCCATAAGTTATTTAGTTGGTTTTTTTTTTACCTTGATGTGTATTTTCCTAATGGATTTACGAGATTTGATTATTAGTAAAGCACTGCTGTCTTTCTTCTGTCTTATATAAAATCCCCCCTTTTTTGTCATCAATTAAACAAGTTATCCTTAAATTTTCAATAATCAATATTTGATTACTGTATCTTTCATTTGCTTAGCACTTTTGAAATACAATAATAAAGTTTATTATTATATATTTGGTTATCTTCCTCTTGGGTTATGTAATTGGTATCCTTAGTCCTCAACTATTACCCCGTTCAACTTGACTATGTACAGCTATTTTTGATAGGCCAGATCCTGAAATCTGAAGTGACCCTATAATTGTATTGTATTAAGTAACATCCTTTGCAGGGTAGTACGTGATGATTAGCTGCAATTCAGAAGTTGCGGTAAAAAGTACACAATAGCTTATGTATACCCAAATTAAACAATCATCATTTGCTTTAGTTACGAGTTTAATTAGAAAATTAGTTTGTATCAAATCTAAAAACAATTATACCAACTACAATAACATAAACAATAATGGGGAAATATCAAGAGAAATACTCACTTTTCGAGGTTTTGATTGATTGATTATTGTTGCTGTATTAATGTCCAGTTGCAAATATTTCATTTCTTTTCAGGACGATAACAAATTAATAGTAAATTTGATAGGTAAGTGTACAAGGCTGAAATACGTAACTTTCACACTGCACAAGACGTAGGATTTATCAATTCCGAGCGGACGTGGTTACATATTTATACACCCGCACAGCCAAACGGAAGAAACCTCCTCTAAAAAGATCTCATTGCCGAACAGGAGCAGTCTACGTGACCATATCTCTATATTTTAGTGAAAACACCCTTGTGGTCAACTTTTTATTTATCATTGCCACAAACCACTGCAATTCTCTTGAAGGACGGATTGTTGTTTGATTAATGTCCAATGGCAAATATTTCATGTATGCAAGTTTCAGAATTAGTTTAAAAAAAGAGCTATACTCACATATTTACACAGTAGTTAATCAATATTTATATAAATCTCTTAAATTGATTTGGAAGATGCAAATCAAGGTAAATCAAAACCTAATAAAGGGGCCCTTTTAGCTTATCTTTAAGCTTTAAATTAATTTATATGATTAACAAGAAATATTGTGTCCACGGACATAATATTATTATGAAATACCTATGAAATCGTGTCCACAGATGTGAAAAAGTGCCCTTCAAAGAAACGACAATATTTCATATGAAAAATTGTCCTTCAAAGAAAGAAACCTTCATAGAAAGGACAGTATTTCACGTGAAAAAGTGTCCACTCTCAATACCTACAAAATGTATTCATAACTTCAGTCCTTTTTCTAAATTGAAGTTTTAAAATAAGCATGGGGTTTTGTCTCTATTAAAACTTGGCATGTAAACTAGAGTATTGAATTCATACAAAATGTGATCATCACCATGTGTAATGAAACATAAATTATACAATAAAACATGAACTTATATATTTAATAGAACTTAATATGAACTTTGTGAATAATAATACATGTTATTCATTTCAATTTACAAAATCATGTAATATTCAAGAATAGTACTCATAAATACTGTTATAGTTTGATACTTTTCTCCTGATAGTTCTTTTCTCATTGTCAGTCGAGGCTGGTGGATAATTTTTGTCGACATCTTTATAGCTAAGATAATTAAAAATGCTTTAGTACACCTTCCATTTTTGATTATATCAAATTATAACTGGTTCTTAATTGGTTTGTTTTAGTAATAGAATATTTAATATAGCTAAAACATTTCAGTGACTCTTTTATTTTCTCCCTTTAAAGTACACTTTTTACTGTGAAAAAGTGTCCTTTTATTGAAAATCAACCTTTACAGGACATAATTTAATAGTATTTATCAAGAAGTTATGTCCGATTGAATGGACACTTTTTCACAGCATCGGACACATTTAAATATACCTTTTCTGTGAAAAAGTGTCCGGGTGGACACTTTTCACAGGACACTTATATGGCTCAGAAAAATCTGACGCAAATCGGCTTATTTTGAGGAACAATACTATATACAGCATTTCACACGGATGTCATTCGGTATATCGAGAAAAAAGAACGTGAAAGAATACCTAACGGTGGTCAAGTATTGCGATTGAATCGTGAAAGCTCTGGTATAGGATCGCGAAGGAAATCTTATCGAGAAGGCATATGCAAGGTCAATTACTAATCTGATTTAATGAATGATGCGGACAAATTTACAAAAGAATAAAACTGTTTGTCAAAATGGTTCAACATAATGATCAGTATCTGAGAATATCAAGATTCAAAAGTAAACCGTTTTCTCAAAACTACAAAAGGCAGATTGCTCCTCGACATTTCAATGAAATTAAATATGTAAACAAACAAGATTTTTTTCATAATTCGAATGACTAAACAACTTTTCTTTGAAACATGTCATTCCATTCCGATGAATCAAATGGTTCTTACAGTTATTTTGTGTTAGCATAATCAGAAATTTTGCAAAAAATGAAATATCTACAAAAAAAGATCTGATGCTACGAAAACGTTCAAATCATTATTTAATGATAATTTATATTTTTAATTGGTGTAGCAAATATTGGATTTGCATACCTCATTCCGGTTCTCTTTTGTTGGTGAATAGGGATATAATCGTTCAATGCCATTGGATCTGATTGTCTTATAATGCCACACCGACTAGGTGCTTTGTATCAATATCATTATTTTTGTCCGTCCTTCATAAGTTTTGATTTTTTATACAAATTAAGATTGAGACTAGAACCTAATCGACTAAATTACAGTTTAAGCTGGGCATATGCACAATCGATCGCGAGGTACGTTGATTGGTAATTTCCCCACTAAGTTGGTATAGCTACTCTATCTTGACTAATCAAACAATCAAGTAAAAATAACGTTATCTTGGTACCTTTTAAGCTTATGTCAGCGCAACCACGAAATAAACAATAAATTAGCCAATATTGTCATAATATGTACGCACGAACGACACTCCATATAACTGAAGGTAACAACCCTTACACAAAAAAAAAACCCAAATGCGTACACATGCATATATTTTCAGGGCGGATGCATTAAAGATACATATATACCTTTACTTTTCGAAAATTTACGCACCTGAAGGTTCTTTTATCTTGGAAATCTACTTATTACGATACGTTTTTACTTATTTTAATAACTTTTAAGAAAAAGTGTTGACTTAAAAAGAAAGTGAATAAAAGATGAAAGCATTAATGTCTTCTTCTGATTACTAAAACTGGTCCGGCGCGGGACGTTTGCGCTTTTTGATAGGAAATTTGCGCTTTTTTTAATAGACATTTGCGCTTTCTCAACATAACATAAAAAATCATTTGATATCAAAAGAAAAAAAAACACAAAATATACATATATCCGTATACAGCTAAAAGCATCAACCTTTCCCCAACATGCTTGTGTCAGATGAAAACGACAACAATCTAAGAGGGTGGATGGGAGTAAATTCCTTATAACAACCATTAGTCTATCTAAAAGTCAACAGGCACAACAGGTACCGTGGTTTACAAATAAAATTTCAGTCTTCACAAATTGAAACAACCTAAGATAAACTATGATGGTACAGTTCCTCTAACTATTCAGTCAACAGAATAACCACAAGAGGAATATAGTTTCCAATTTAAATCCACTAATAAGAAAGCTAATTGAAGAATTTCGGTCAAAATTTAAATGTTCCATCCATAAAAGTTTCCTTTTCTCTAGTGTCTACCTAGAAACATATACTATATTTTTCATAATATGTCTGGTTTACAAGAATATTTTTTTATCTGATTTTGTTGTTTGTCCTGAAGAACTTTCAAAGAATATGTGAACATCTTTCCATGACTTTGGTAAATTTTCTAAATATTACAAGTAAACTATTAGAGGTAAAAAGCGCAAATGTCTTGTCAATTTTGTTCAGGTGTATCAAAGTTAAAAGCGCAAATGTCCATAGAGTTTGAAGCGCAAATGTCCTTTATTATTATACGGCATGTCAAAATGCCAGATTTTGATTGGTTAATACGAGGGAGACAATTTACTCTATCCTATGGCAAATACTCTATTACCCTTCACCGAGACGCTTGATCAAGTGTGCGCTTTATCAAATACGAATGGTTGTTATGTACAAGACGTCATAGTTTATTACTTTGAATTTGAAATTTAATAGACAGTAGTCACAGAACATTCAGTATAATAAATTAAATAACACATATCTGAGAGGGTGATAGAGCAGATTGTTACCCCTCGAGAAGACATTGTAAACCTTGGCTTCGCCTCAGTTGACAATGTTTTCTCTGGTTAACAATCTGCTCTATCACCCTCTCAGCTATGTGTTATTTATATAGTGTTACAGGTAAAATTATGGAAAGCCTCAGCTGTCATATATTAAAGATTTACAAAACGTTATGCTGAAGCTTAAAATGTAAAGTTAAGACAGCGTGATGATGAATTGAGTTATCAAAATGATAACTCTAAATTACAATATGCGAAGTTGAATCTGCCCAATGTTGACTTGCAATGACAAGTGCTTTAGTCGTGATAGTATAATGATAAGTCACGATGTTGTGATGATATGCCAAACACACGTAACGTTGGGTTTAAAGTACATGATGTGAAGTTGACGTTGCATGATGTTAGCTTGCAGATGGATACTGCTCAGTCATCCACATCGACAGCAATGATAACAAATAAAATGAATAGCTAA